CCCAGGTTCAAGCAATTCTCCTGCCTCAGCCTCCTGAGTAGCTGGGATTACAGGCGTGTACTACCATGCCTGCATAATTTTGTATTTTTAGTAGAGATGGGCTTTTGCCATGTTGGCCAGGCTGGTCTTCAACTCCTGACCTCAGGTGATCCCCCTGCCTCGGCCTCCCAAAGTGCTGGGGTTATAGGTGTGAGCCACGGCACCCGACTGACAGTCATTTAAATAATCTTTTTCTTAAAAATAAATCTTTGTAATTTGTTGTGCAATTTACACTTACAGTTTAACCCCATTTGGACCAGTTACAATTTAAGTGTTCAATAACCACGGGCCCTGTTGAAAGGGGAGGGGCCATTTAGATTTGGGTTTTGGAGGATGAGCGGAAGTTTGTCTGGTGAAGAAGAGAGGAAGGGGCATTTCAGACAGAGGAAACAGATTCGCTGTGGTAGCATCTCCTATTGGGACGCTTGGATAAATATTTTGTAAAAAATAGGTGTGCATTTTATGCCAAATGATAAAGTTTTTCTGTTTATGAGAATGATATAAAGTTTTCCATAAAATAAATTTATGAAGTGAAAGCAATTGAAAGACACATACGAAGTGACTAATATAGGTTTTACAAGGAAATGGTAAAAATTATAGAGGGTAAATAGGATAACTGAAGTTTAGAAGGTAAACATGTATATTTTGTTGTTACTAAAACTTACTCACTTGCATCTAAATCAGTAACTTCCCATAAGAGTTAAACCTTCAAAGAGATGCAATAATACGTAGCAGATAACATGCCAATTAAAATATCCATGATAAATGTCTGTTAGACATACATCTTTTAGAAAATGGATGTACTTTAAAGTTAAAATATATGACTTAAAAACCCAGGAAAATCAGGGAATTTTCATGTATTTCATTCAAATTGAACAAATATTAGGATTTTTGCTTTCTTTTCTTTTTTTTAAAAAAAAATTTGGCCAGGCACGGTGACTCACGCCTATAATCCCAGCACTTTGGGAGGCTAAAGTGGGTGGATCACGACATCAGGAGTTCAAGACATGCCTGGCCAAGATGGTGAAAGCCCATCTCTAATAAAAATACAAAAAAATTTATCAGGGCGTGGTGGCGGGCGCCTGTAATCCCATCTACTCGGGAAGCAAAGGCAGAGAATTGCTTCAACCCAGAAGGCAGAGGTTGCAGTGAGCCGGGATGGCGCCACTGCACTCCAGCCTGGATGACAGAGCAAGACACCATCTCAAAAAAAAAAAAAAAAAAAAAAAATATATATATATATATATATATATATACACATATATATATATATATATATATCAGTTATAAAAACATGAACACATTCTGGTTGGATGCTGAGGTTTGAAGAAAAAAAAAAGAAAACAAAAAACATGAACACTTTAGTTGGATTTCAACAAGCAAATCTGTGCTGATTGTTGAAAGCCAATCTCTCACGTCTTCCTGGTGGGCCCAACAGGAGAGGGAGAAGGAAAGGGAGAAAGGCACACCTGTCGCTCTCATGTCCCTAACACTGACCCTTTTCCTCAAGGTCCCTGACCATCCTCAGCGCACACCCCTCGAGTTTAGTGGTTGACCACCTCCTGGACTTGGTGGGGAAATTGAGACCCCAGGTGTGGACACTTCAGATGGGAACAAGAGCCCACCGCGTTACCGGATCCCAGGCGTTACCAGATCTCATCCTGAGCCACAAGGTTCATGCGTTCAGCCGCCGCTGTGCTGAGCGGTTTCTGCGCCATGAGGCCTGGGGGCTCCGTGCGCCCCGCTAGCTCTGGCACTGGGCTCAGCGTCTAGCGTCTCCTGGAAGACCGGTTGCCAGGCAACGCAGGACTCGGAGGCGGAGATGGCGCAGCACCTGGCGAGGGTGGGGTCGCTGTGCTTTCGCCGCCTCGCTTGGGTGGGAGCTTGCTGCCATCCTGTGCTCACGTTTGGGCCCTTCTTCCACCTCTCAGCCCATTTGCTCCTCTGCGGAAAACCTCCGGGAAACCTTCAGACCTAACACCCTAACCTTCTTTGAAAATTCAAATCCGCAGTGGAAGTATGCACACCTACAAGTGGACAAACTCTCAAGTGTACAGAGCTTAACTGAGTATGTCAAAGAGAAGGCTCGCCTGTAAACACCACCTGGAGATTAGAAAACAAATCATTGCCAGCCTCACCCAGCGGCCCCCAGAGTCATTGTCCTCCCTGGGTCTCATTGATTTCCCTCTGCAAAGATTAGCTTTGCCATGATTTGAACTTTGTGTGCGTGGAAACATCCAGATGTTCTCCTTTGTGCCTGGCTGCCTTTGCCCAATGTCATGATTGACAGAGCATCCCCATTGCTGTGAGTGGCCCTAGCGTTCATTTCTGCTCCTGAACAGTATTTGCTGATGGACACTGCATTGAGTTTTTGGCCACCACAAAAGTGCTGCTATAAATATTACGGCACATGTGTTTGGAGAAAATATTCATTTTAGTTGGCGTCCACTCTTTGTAACAATCCCTAAATGAAATTCATGGATAATGTTACCTCCGGACTCCACCACCCCACACTCTTTTTCCTGCCTATAAGCAGTAATCACTCTATCGTTGGGGTGCTCAGCCAGTGTTTGTTGATTGACTCATTGACCCCCTAGGTTTCTGCCATACCCCATTGTTGTGGACCTAGAGCTGGAAAATGGCTCTGAGACAACAGCAAGGGGATCATCTACACGAGGTAGGGGGACATTTTTCTGGCTTAGCAGCCATGAGATGAGCAGATATCCAGAGCCTGCCTTGGGGGACTAAGAGAGGAGGAAGCATGATTCAGTTGAGCTACATGTTACCTCCTAGATAATTACCAGGGCACTGGTCTGGGAGGATGCCAGTGTGTGTATCCACCACTTAGGTATCTGAGACTCTCCCTGGTTCATCTCCATGGCCTCTTCCCTTCTCAACAGATTTGTACTTTTGTGCGGTGTTTAGAGGGGGGCTCAGCTGGTGTGTTTTCCCTCATAGCACATGTTGCTTTTCTTGGTTATTGGAAATGCCTGGCCTACGCCCAGTATTGGGGTGGTCCCAACTGTCCCTCAGCTGGATTAGTGAGTGGGCAAGCAGAGGCTGGCATTGGAGCTGAATTGATTAATTAATGAATATATAACATCCCAGACCCACGGCTGAGCCAACTGCAAGCTAGTGGGCTAGCAAGAGGGTGGACAGATCTCTAGGCAGGAAGCTGGGGTTTTCTTCCTGGACTATTCTCCAAGGTCACCATTCTTACAACAGAGGGGAAGATATTCTGGGAGGAAATAAGTGGATGGCTAGGAAGAATGATCCATTATGTAGTAAGAACGAATTCTGCTTTCCTCCTTGGGGGGTTTTGAGACATTTCTGTTAAGATGATTAATTAAGACTAAATTCATTAACAGCGCCAGACACTGAGGGTTCCTTCATCCTATGGATGTGTGTTGAGAGCTTTTGATGTGTCTGGTGCCAGGAGGGAGTCAGACCTGCAAGGTCTCTGCTTCCCTGGAGCTGGAACATCGAGTGGGAAGACAGATAATGAAGCCAGGAAACAAATGCACGCGTGACCTGGTGCCAGGGAGAGAGGCATGATGCGCTAGGAAGAGAGTCGCACCAGGGCATGAGGCCAGCGGGGGCAGGGACAGGCCAGGGGCTGCGGGGCTGTGTTAAACAGGCGGTCAGGGAAGGTTTCTCTGAGGAGGAGACATGTGGGTACACATCTGGTGTGGAAGATCAGAATAATTTCCCACAGAGCGGGTGGTGCAGGGCATAGTTCTCCAGGCAGAACCAGCATGGGGTGTTTGAAGAATGCAAACGAGGCCAGTGCAGCTGGAGGGTTCCACGGAAATGAAATGGGTGCAGAAATGGAGAAGCAAGCACTCTGCGATCCAGGAGTGTGCTCTAGCAGGTAAGCAGATGTGAATGCAACTAAATGATAACGCAGCCTTATATATGAAATGTCATAGGGTATATGTGATTCAGAGCCAGCCCCAGATGAGACAGAAGAGGACAGAGGAGGTGATGAGTGAGTTGGGTTTTCAAGGATGAGTAAGAGTTTGCTAGTCTTCTCCATTCTCCTTGGCAATATCTGCACAGGGTAGCCTGAGTCCAGGACTAGAAATGGGTAGAGTACTGGATAAATGTCCAGGTTTTGGGATCCAACATAGCTCAGGTCTCGAGTTTGCCGTGTGCCATCTCAATGACCTTGTACACATTGCTTAACAACTCTGAACCCCCATTTCCTCATCTGGAAAAGGGGATCCTGACTACACTTCCCACTTGTAGGGATCTGCGGAGGCTGAGAGGAGCAAAGGCAGAGAGCTCTGCAGGAGCCTGACAGCAGGGCTCCCAAACAATGGAGGGCTTCACTCCTGGTTTATCACATTTGTCGCCAGGATGCAGGCAGGTCCCTCAATCTAAGACACTAAGATTTGGGGGAAGATGTGGGGAGATGGAAATGTGGCTTTAGGTGGAAGTGGGGTTTGCTTCTTAAGCATGTCAGTGTTGAAGGAGAGGCTGTGGATGACTGGTGGCTGGAGGCCGTCCCCAGCAAAGGCTGGGTTCCCTCTTTCTCAAGAGGTGAGAGAGGACCCAGAGCTGTCCTGGTCACCCTCAGGGCACCAACGTTCCCCAGCCCCCATGGGGCGCTTCCCTGCCTGCTCTAATTTGATGGTGAGAGGGTCTGGATCTGTGTTCCCAGCAAATCTCATGTTGAATTCTAATCCCCAGTGTTGGAGGTGGGGCCTGATGGGAGGTAATTGGATCATAGGGGTGAATTTCTCATGAATGGTTTAGCACCATCCCCTGGGTACTGTCATTGCTATTGTGAGTGAGTTCTTGCGAGATCTGGATGTTTAAAAGTGTGTGGCCCCTCCCCCGGCCCTTGCTCCTGATTCGATCTGTGATGTACCTACCTCCCCTTTGCCTTTTGCCTCGATTGCAGCTTCCTGAGGCCTCCCCAGAAGCCAAGCAGATGCCAGCGTTGTGCTTCTTGTACAGCCTGCAGAACTGTGAGCCAATGAAACCTCTTTTCTTTATAAATTACCCAGTCTCAGGGATTTCTTTGTAGCAATGTGAGAAGGACCTCATACAGATGGTCACAGCAACCCCTTGCAGAGGGCTTTGTGACTATTTTGCAGAAGGGAAAACGGGCTCGGTAAGGAACCCTGGCCTCGGAGGGCAGCCCTTCTTCCTTCCTTCCTAGGGGCAGAACTCCTGAGGAAGATGGGGAGCCGACATTTCCGGGTCTTCCTCGCTCTGGTAACTAGGGAAGATGTCTTTATCTTCCGAGATGACTTTCAAGGCTAAAGCATGGCTGTCAATTTCGGCAGTAAGTGAGGGTTGAGGAAGCAGTGCAGGTCAAGCTTTTTCTGAGGTGGTGTCTGTGTAAAAGGCAAAGTTTCGCCTTATGGCAGCACTGGTGGGGCCATATTGGAACCTGCCATACGTCACTGCAGCTGACACACAGACCTAGACACCCTAAGACGCCCACCTTCTGGGTCTATCCTGAGACTCCTTTGTTTCAACCAACTATGAACAGAGCCACAAGCTCGCTCTGTCCAATCAGGATGTGCGTTATCAATCCTTCGTTAGCAGAACCACCGGGAGCCCCTCTTCCAACCACTGAAATATGTCTCCCACTTGGCGGTAGGGCCGGATTCAGCAAATAAAAATACAAGATGCCCAGTTAAACTCGAGTTTGCATGGGGCTGTACTGTACTTCTACTAAGAAATCACTTACTTGTCTGAAATTCAAATTGAGCTGGGCATCTTGAACCTTCGGTGCCACCCCACCCTCAGTGAATTTCTTCACTGGTCCATGCTCCATGCTCAGCAAGTTGAGACATTCACATACATCAAACTCTATTTTTAGTTTTAAGTTCTGGTGGTCTTTTTCTTTGTTTTGTATATCCTCCTCCATTTTCCTCACTCTGGGGGTTGAAACCCCCTCCCTCTGATACATGAAACCAATTCATGAGCCCCTGGCAGACACAATTTCTTCAACCTAATATATTTTTTTTTCTGGCAAAATTGTTATTCCACATAGATTTCCAACAGGAAGAGTGGAGAGAGAAAAAGAACTGCCGTACTTGCTGACTACACGTGGGAAACTAAGAAAATATTTACAGCTTGCAGAAGGTTCGCCATGTTCCCATGTATTAATATTTTTGGCCCTCTCTCAGTTCTCTGGGACAGTTTATTTTTTATTTTTTTCATTTTGCTGTTGCTTTATAAAACATGTCGACAACTGGAGCCAACCGCTTCTTTTTTAGTTTTTAAGCTTAAACAGCTTTCTTTTTTATTTCATGATTTTTTTTTTTAAACCAAAGAATGCTTTGTGCCGTGAGTGGTTTCTGCCAGCCTGCGTGCCTTTCTCACAGCACGGGTGATCATTACCTCGACTGCACAACAAAAGCATGGAGGCTGGCGCTGAAAGTGCCAATTTGCAGGGAATGTATTTGATGGCTTAACTGAGCTTCAGCTTAAGGGACCCAGAGTTTCTTCTCTTTTCACACTCATTATGCCCTCTTTAGTCACAGCCCACGAACTCCCCTCCTGCTTCACAAATAGTCTCCACTTCACACACCTAAAGTAACAATTAGCATCACTCTCTGGGTCTTATTGAAGAAGAACAAAGCTGCACCCCTCCTGCTGCACCCAGGAAGTTCTCTCGTAAGCCTGCCCTCTATTTGGCCTAATTATCCAATGCTGCCCCAATGAGAGGCTGCACACCAAGCTGAGGGTGGATTTCATCCTGCTCCCTCCTCCTGACATCTCTCAAGCCAGCTCTTAGGAGGTGAGAAAAGCCCAACCCCTGTGTGAAGAGATAGTCAGCTGGTGCCAGGGGAAAAGAACCAACTTAGATTTCCAAGTGTGAATCCCACTCTGTGGTCCTGGCCATTGAAGGTGGGAAATGCCTGGGAGCCCTCTTCAGGTGCCATTAGTGGTGAAGGCGGAGAGGGTATTCTGAGCTTTGGCAATGGGCAGCCCATTTCCATCTGCCCTGAAGTTTCCATGCCTGGGAAGGAGCTTGACTGGAAATGGGGACAGTCGGGGAACGGAGCTTTTGCCTCTGAAGGGTTAGATGTAGGTTTCAGTCACAAATACTGAACTTGACTGGGAATTTAAGTGCAGTAATTTTCTAGGATTCCAGACCATTGTACTTAACTGAGATGGCAATGGGGAGGACTCTGTGGCCCATGGAAGGTCAGACAGAAGGTTTGAAAAGAAAACTGGATCATTGGGTAGAAGTGGGAGGAAGGAGGTTCTTTTCCATAAAATTACAAAATCCATTCATTCGTTTACCCAACTGGGTGGTACTAGGGAAATTTGTACTACTGTGTACATGGCTGAGCTGTCAATCTGATGATCACAGTAGCAGAAGTAATAGTTGAAATGTATTAAGCACTTTCAATAACAAGTAATTCCCAAGCGTCATTGCATTTCATCCCCATCATAGCCCAATGATGTAGACTGTGATCATTCTTATTTTGCAGAGGTGGATGTGGAATCAGAGAAGTTGAGCCACTTGCTCATGGTCACACAGCTATAAAGATGGAAACCAAGGTCCAGATGCCCTTACTCATCGATAAGGCTAATTTCAGGTATGCCTGGAGTGTATCCGTCTAGGCCCCTTACATGGATAGTGGACAGGAATGTGTCATTTCCCAAATAACAGTCTCAACAATTTGAATGATTATAAAGAGAGTGAATGGCATTGCTATTTTCTGTGTTGTCCCACTCTCTCTCTCTGAGACTTGAGTGAAAGGTATTTCAAATGAAAATTTGTGGGTATTTGTTAAGGGCCTACTGTGTGCCTAGCTCCCTGTGTGGTGTAGGTCGGAACACAGAGTGAACAATGGGCAAGGCTGTCCCCGAGTGGGTAGTCTGGGGTCAAAGTCTCACTCCAGGCCCTACCACCTAGAGAGTGCTCAGCACATAGCGGGCCCTTGGTGGGTACTTGCTTTGTCCAGTGAAGGCTGTTCTACTCATTCTGAGGATGGACACTTCACCTAGGACATGAAATGGCATGAGTGGTTAAGAACTGTGGTCTCCATCTTCATGGCAAGGAGAGCTCTTTTCCTATCATGGACATGGAGACGAGACCCACTGAGACACTGTGTGTTTCATCTAAAAGGCAAACGAATTTGTGGATTGATCTCTTTCAGCAGCCTTCACATTCGTGTCTGGGGAGACATCTCTTTGAGACTCCTATTGTTCATTTTCAGATAACTTCATATAAAATGGATTTTAAATGAAAGCTTGGGGGCTCTATGAAATCCAGAAGGCTAAGTTGGAAATATCTATTATTTCAGAGATTTGCTGGCACTGTGATTATAGAGCAGCTCCGTACGTGCCAGGTCTTTTAAACACAGTTAATGAGAATCACAGCTGCCATGGCTCCCAGTTCCTGACCGTCTAATCATTGCAGAGGATTAGTGGGGGCGCTGGGATGGGAATCTGGGGGGACTTCAGCAGGTACAGATTTGAGGGGCTGTGATCTACAGTCAGCCTCGCTGACTTGTGGGTTTTTTTTTTTCCCTCTGTGATTGGGAGAGAGAGAGAAAAAGAGAGTGAGCAAGTTGAGATTCTTGGGTTTATGAAATTTTTGTGATGCCTTGACACTGTCCATGATAGAAGAGAGGTCCAGAGCTCCAAGCTCTTGGGGTTACCTAGACTCACTCAAGGAAGTTGCACGTCCTCCTGGATCAGAGGAAATTTGGAACCTCCAAGAAGAAAGGAAGCCCACTGCTAGTCTCCCAAAGACCCCCTGATGAATATAAGAACCCTACATTTGTCCTGCTAATCAGCTGGGACTTTGTCCTAGCTGGGTGCCTTTGGCTTTGGTCTGGGAGGGGCACACTGTGACCTGTTCTATATAGGTGCCTCTGGCCTGGAGAATGGGCTGGGAAGCAACACTAGAGGTTGGGGCCTAGATGGAGGTTTGCTGATGTCTAGATGCGTGGTGATGAGGCCCAGGCCAGAGAAGTAGCATTTGGGTTGGAGAGAAAGATACAGGGGATATGGGAGAAAGGGTTAGATAGTCAGCTCAAATCAGTTTTGCATGAAGACAGGCGATCATTTAGCTCTCATGTTTGAAGAGTCCAGAGGCTTCAGGTAAGGCTGCATCCAGGGGTTCAAGGGATGCCATCAGAACCAGGTCTTCTTGACTCTGTGCTCCCCTGCACTGGCCCATCTCAGGCAGGTCCCTCTGGGGTGGCCGCTGGCCGCTCCAGTCTCCAAGTTGGATGGAGGTTGCTGTCCTCCCCATTGCTCCTCTGCATGTCTCAGGGTTTGCTCTGACTGCGCTGTTGTGGGTCTTGTGCCACCATGATCACCATGGTCAGAGGACAGAGCTGATGGACAGACTGGGGCCCCGCGGCCGCTCCAGCCACATGGATCCAGAGTGAGGCACGTTGGTTCCTGAAGAGACGACCAAGGTGCAGCAGGCAAACCTGTGCTGCTGGGGTGTGGAGGCCTGGGGACGTTGGCGGGGGATGAGGGGGTGGAATCTATGTCACGGGTGGCTCTGAGGTAGGACCAGGGGCTGGGGCTGGATGCCATGAGTGGAGCCTCCCGAAGATCGGGGCAGACACCACAACATTTGGACTGGATTAAAGCAGAATGGCTCCGTGGCTCTGCCTGAGGTGGGTTTCCCTGATTTATAGATGCGCAATGATCTGACTCTCGTTTGCCTCTAACTCAGCTGTCACTTCCACTTTATCTCATATTTAAGACCCTGTCACAGCACGATGCGTTCACTGCTCCCTTGTTCAGGGAAAAAGGGTGACCCAGTGCAATTTTGCTTTTATCTCCTGGGACAATCGGCTTTATCAGGCTGGCCATAATCAGAACAGGTTTTACAGGAAAATATATATATTTTTCTTTTGAGTTGAATGCAGAAGATGTTTTGCTGGTGAGTCCACTGTGCTGGGGTCCTGTGGAAACCTGGGCTCAGGGCTGTCCTTGGTGGCACTGAGACAACCTGGCCATTCAGCTCCGTCGTCCAGCCCACTCCTGACCCAGTGTGGGAGGCTCGGCCCGCCTCTGGCCCTTTGCTGGTTCTTCCCAAAACCCATTTTATATCCACATGGTCCTCACTCTTCAAGACTGACCTTGAGTTCCTGGAGTTCACAGGGTCCCCTGTTGTCCTTGAGGCCTCTGCTTGAAGGGAGGGGCAGCCCCGCCTGAGCCCCACTCCTGTCTCTATGTGACTGTGTGCTCAGGGAAGGCAGCTCCACCTTCTTGGTTCTGCTTTGGCCCTAGTGAAGAACCTGGGCTCAGAGGACCCTTGGGTCCCACTGCTCCTGGCTCTGGTCTCTCATCAGGATGCCCAAATAAACAGGATGCCCCCACGGGAGCCCTGTGGCCGAACCAGGCGGGGACTGCCAGTTGTCACTCATTGTCCAGGTGGCTCTCTGCCTGGCCATGCTGGCACTCCTGCTTTAGAACAGATGTTCTGTATCATCCCCTTCATTGTCCTGTGATAACATTCAGAGATAATATAATGCCCTAGCTAGGAAATCAAGGAGAAGTAAGAGGGAAGTAATATAAACTAAGAAAATAGAATGATGGGCATGGAATCCTCCAGGCTTTGCTACATTAAGAGACAAGGGGGGTGGGCAGGTGGCCAGGCCTGTGGGGGGGATTCCCCTGACTGTGCCATCCCCAGACTGTGCCACCTCGTGACTGTGCCACCCTGACACTGTGCCACCCCAGACGCCGTTGACTCAGAATAGAGCATATTGGCCACTCAGCTACCACAGTGACATTGCTGTTGGTGATGTGATTTTGTGAAACAACTCTTGGTTTTCACTGAATGCATCCAGCAGTTTTATTTCAGAGAAACTAAAGCCAAATAAAGTGGCACAGGAAACACTGTGTATTTGTATGTGTGAGAAGACCTTGTACTTATATGTGAAAGGGAAGGTGGTTCCAGGCTTAGATAATTTGAAGCAGGATTTTCACTGACAGGCACATCCAGTGGATTATTCCCAAGTCCTTGGGGTGGGGACTTTGCTTTGGGGTTCTGACTGACTTGTATGTTGTCGGAAAGCCTTTTCCCTTGCACACCAAGTGGTGCTAGCATTGTGATAATCCCCAAACATCTTCCTACCCAGCATTTCTTTTTTTTTTTTTTTTTTTTTTTGAGACGGAGTCTCGCTCTGTCGCCCAGGCTGGAGTGCAGTGGCGCAATCTCGGCTCACTGCAAGCTCCGCCTCCCGGGTTCACGCCATTCTCCTGCCTCAGCCTCCCAAGTAGCTGGGACTACAGGCGCCTGCCACCGCGCCCGGCTAATTTTTTCTATTTTTTGTAGAGACGGGGTTTCACCATGGTCTCGATCTCCTGACCTTGTGATCCGCCCGCCTCGGCCTCCCAAAGTGCTGGGATTACAGGCGTGAGCCACCGCGCCCGGCCCCTACCCAGCATTTCTAAAATTCTCCCCCAAACCTGTCGAGAACCCTTGCACGTTATATTCAACACTCACAGCAGTCCCGGAATGGGGGTGGATATTTCTGCTGCCAGCTTAAAAAGAGACCTAAGAAGGGAGCAAAGATTCCCTCTTGGTGTTAAAGCACTCACAGGTTGGGCAGGTTTAGAGTCTTGTGACATTTGCTAGTAAGAATCAGCACTTCTAAGCCCAATGCACGCATGCATCCAATTATTTATCAAACACTTGGTGACAGCCAACATAGATCAATCAGCACCGGCTCTGCTCTCAAAAGGCAATTATAAGTGGGCGGACTGGGTTGAATGGCGCTCCCTCCCCCAACTCCTCCCACCTGGAACTTGTGAGTGTGATCTTATTTGGAAATAGGATCTTTGCTGATGTAATTAGCTAAATTAAAATGAGATCATACTGGATTATCAGGGTCCTAACCCAGTAACACGTCTTTATGAGGAGACCATGTGCAGACACAGAGACACAAGCACACAGGGAAGAAGGCTATGTACAGATGGAAGCAGAGATTGGAGTGAGTCTGCCACAAGCTAAGGATTGCTGGCAACCCCCAGATGCTGGAAGAGGCTGGGAAGGATCCTCCACTGGAGCCTCTGGAGGGAGCATAGCCCTGCTGATGCCTGGATTTTGTACTTCCAGCCCCAGGAATGTGAGGGAAGAAATGCTGGGTAGGAAGATGTTTGGGGATTATCACAATGCTAATTGTGTTGAGCCATCCAGTTTGTGTTAATTTGTTAGGGCAGCCCTAGCAAACCAATTCAGGGGCACACACATGGATACTAACACCCACACTACAGACTGCTGAGTGCCTGGACAGAATCTCATGGGCACAGTGAGAAGGTGCCCCTGGTCCAGGTTTCTAAATCCGGGAAATCTTCCTTGAGGCAGGAGACCTCAAACAAAACACACAAACCAAATGCTCAGCGTAACAGGCTCTGGGAGGGATGTGACCAGCCTGTGAATGGTTAGACAAACTCTGAGACTGGAATGGTCCTGGCTCAATACGCTCTGATCTCCCCCAGGAGCTGAGGGTGCAGCGTGGAGGAGGGGCTGAATGTGGTTTGATGGCTCCACTGGGGGGTCCTTCAGCCTCACAAACCTGGCTCCACACCCCAGCCCTGCCAGTCCCTGGCTGCGAGCACT